TTACGCAGCAGAAGGAAACAAAAACATGATCAAGCAACAATATATGGTGCTACTATAAGTGAAAAACAACATCACAAAAGAAAAAGAAAATGAAAATGAAAGAAGAAAAGAAATGAGAACTACACAAGGGATCAAAGAGTGTAAAAATGCTTGTGTTATGTGGTAGCAAATAATAAACAAGTACAAATTTACGTGCTGAAACAAGAAAATTGTAAAAGAGAACTAATAATATTGCGTGCAGAGAAATTCTTGAAATTTTGAAATAAAAAACCAAATTTACGTAGTTGTTTTACAATTACATTTATTTATTTTTTTATATGCTTACAATAACTAAATTATTTTACGTTTTTATTTTTATTATTTTTCATGCACCCGTGTACTACACGGTTGTCGTAGTAGTAGTAGTAAATACTCAACTGTAAAAACAAATAAATTAGAATGACTTAATAGTTAATATGCTTAACTCAATTTGTTGAACCGAAAATAGTACCACTCAATTCTCTATTATTGTATAAGAAATTAATTCATCGGTCGTGCTTGATATAATTATTCTTCTTGAGCTCATTTCGAAAACATCATCAACTAGACGTACCGAGACACAGTTACCGTAAATAATTTTAACGGCACATTTGCAATTTGTTGAAGTTCAATTTTTTTTTTTTTTTTTTTTTTTTTNGTTCTTTATTTGGGAATTGGTGTGTAAGATCTGTTTTGACATGTATTATACTCGCTAAATTTTATGTATTGATTGTGATTATTCAATAATAAAAGCTGATCGGTCAATCTTGATAAAATGAATCAATGCTCCAAAAGTTACAATAAGTTCATTTTAATAAACTAAACGAGCTAAACACGAACAAACAGAAGTTAACGAACAACCAAACGAACAAAAACAAACATAAATTTAGGCTCTAGTAAATGAACAAAACTCGAACAAGCTTGAATATTAGCAGTCAAACTCGTCGGATTCGTAGAAAATGGGCTTGTAATTCTTAGCCCTCGTAATGGACTCCAGCTCTAGCTTAGCCCTCGTAATGGTAACCTCCAGCTGTAGCTTCCCGTCAGCACCCACAAAATCCTTGGGCACGAAAAGAATCTTGTTGCCAGGAAGCTGTCCCCTGAGCCAAACCGCTCTCGTCTCAGCCAGAGCCTTCAGCTTCACAAAACCCACACCATCCACTGCCACAACCTCGTACACAAATTTCCTCTCGGATGAGATGGGTCCAATGCAATAGAGAGCAACCGCGCTCCCGATGCTGAGGGACTTGCGGCTGAGGACAAAAAGCGTGTCATCGAGTTCGTACTGCAGGAAAACATACCCCTGGTCGGGTCCCAAGGAGACATGGATCTTAGAGTTCGTGAAGAAGAGCTTTGACGAGGTGGGGTGAATGGTGGCAAAATGGGAGTAGACTGAGGAGGGGAGGCCCGTGTAGGAGCAGTCGGGGTGGGGGCAAGAACAGGGTGAGTGGCGGCACGTCTTCTCATGGTTGAGCTTTTCGTTATAGACTGGGGACTCTGTGCACCCATGCAGGGCGTTGGGGCATGGGACTCGCACCGAGTCGAGGACCCTCTCGATGGCTCGACATCGAGAGGAGCCAATGGGACAACTGCAGCTTCCGCAGTTGTTGTGCATCTTGACGCAACATGGCTCGCACGACACGTGCCCATTTTCGCACTACATGCATTTAGATTCAAGAATTAACAAGGAAATTAATTAGAGTAATGCTATAGAATCCACTTGGATGACAACTTGGGTTATAACTTGTAAATGCATTATTTTTTAATGTTTTTGATAATGCATTACACTTGGGTTGTAATCGGATTAAATAGCATTACTCAATTAATTATTATCAAACCTTGGTCGAAAAAGGAGGAAATACATATTTTCAAGTCGGTATTGAAAAATTTATATGTAAGTGTCAATTATTAACTAGACAAAAATTTATATCTTTTCCTTTGCTGTGTAGAAATACAAAAACTAGACATGCGAAACCATAATACAAATCAAGTAACCAATTTGAAGAATTAAAGGAATTGAGTAAGTACCTGATATACTGGGGGGATTAAAGGTTCCAAGCAAATAGGGCAATCTAAAACTTCCGGGTCGGTTAGGGTCACTGATAGTGAACCCGGTACTTTGTTCTCACTATCCATTGCACTTGGAGTGGTGAGGTTAACCATTTCCTCATCGTCGTCATCCAATGACCCAAAACCTCCTCTCGCCTCTGCCGGCTGAGGAGAAGCGGTATAAGTGGACTGGGGACTCTCGCGTGTGTTTGCAGCGGAGGTCCGTGGTTTTTTGGATGACTTTCTCGCCATTGTTTGTTTACTGAGTTGACTTGGACGACCCTTTTGCCTCCTATTTAAATTTATCTACATTTTTCTTTCTTCATTTTGACGATTCTTCTGCCCCGCCCCTGTTTAATTTATTACACTGTTTGTTTCTTGATTTTGACGATCCTTCTACACCTATTTAACGCATATGTACAGTTTACTTTCTTGATCTTGACGTTCTTTTATTGCCCCTATTTAATTTTATAATTTATATACACTTTTGTTTCTTTAATTTGTATATCTTCAACCGCCCAAGAACTTGTGCAAAATATTTGATCCTATCTAACCATCAGAGTGAATTGGAAATTAAACAGAAAAAAGATTACAATGGAAAGAAAAAAAATGGAAGAATAAAAGAAAAAAATTAAGAGTTGTAAGGTGAAGAAATATCTGCACAGTTTCTCGAAAGGTTAAAAGGTGGGAACGGCTAATGCATAATTAGTTTGATATAAAAAAGGTTAAAAAGGAATATTAATTGGAGAACGACTGTGATTATTTTGGAATAAAAAATTAAAAAATGATATGTAGTGTCATGTCATTATATAACTAAAAAATGAATTGTATAAATGTGGTCCGCGTTGCTAATTGGGACAAATGAAATCGCTGAATATATGAGGCTCCCTCTTCCTGGATTCTGGTAATATATTATCCGTAACAAAAAATTATTATTATTCAATATAATCCTCATAGCAACATATATATAGAATTAAAGAGCTCTCTCTAACCATTAAAGATCACTCAGTACATGAACAAATAACATACATATAACCTGGACTGCAATCACGACAAAACAAACATAAGAATCAAAGATTTTTCTATACAAAATCTTAATGAAATGGTCTTCAAAGTTAGCCAACCATAAGATACCCCGAATACGAGTCTATTTTCATCTCCTCTGGAAGTTGAAAGTCTTGATAGAGTAGGCAAAGATGAAGGTGAAAAGCACCACAAACCCGAGAAGCACACCAGCAACCATCCCAAGCATGTCTCGTCTGAACCCAAAGTAGTTCCTTAAGAACTCCTCAACCGATTGACCGGAATCCTCCATCACATCTCTAACCTCACCATATTGTGTGATGATAAAACCGTAGAGTGTATAAGCCATTGGTGTTGCCCAATAATACCACCTCCACCACACAGGGATTCTCTGTTGTTTTTCCCCAAACAAAACAAATTCAGTTAATAAATTAGTTAGAATTTATGTTTTTCGTGTGTATGTGTTTACTTGTGCCACAAGTTATACTTACAGGTCGTGGGACGATGAATCCACAGAACAAATTCCAAAAGGCATAGAAGAAGGACGAGATGATGGTGGCAACATTGTGGTTAGGAGTTACGGCAACAGTCATCATGCCGTACAAGACAAAGTACAATAACGAGAAGAACAAGAAATAGATGAACCAGAAGAATTTCTCGGCCGTCCAGTCGAAACCCATCATGGAGTACACAATGAGAGCGTACACAACGGATTGGACAAAAACGTACGGGATCTCAATCAGAAACTGAAAACAAAAAACCGAAAAAAAAAAAAAATGGTTTAAAAACCTTTTAAAAAGTCGAAGATTTATAATTGTCTAAATAAACTAGTCTCACCTGTGAGAATGCATATGGTAGAGCAGAATACATTCCGGCAGCTTTTTCCCTGTAAAAGACAGTCCTCTCGATGGCCACAACTGGCTGTACTGTGGAACCGTATTGAAAACCCAAGAAATTGACTGCAGCATACATTGAACCCATGGCATTGAATAAATCTTGCTGGGTGTTCCTGTAATTTCACCACATTCAATTCAATTACGATGTTCAGCACAAAAAAAAAATTCCATTTTTTTTTTTTTTTTTGGTAAAGAGCTCTTTTTCTTTTTATTTATTTGGACTTACCATCTCTGGCCAAGATCCCAAAACATTGTCCCGAAGATAAGAGCAATGAATGTAGTGAACAAGAATCTGACGGCAGTGTAAGGCGGGTTACGCCAGTATGACCAATGTTGTTTCCACAAGCAAGCAATGCATTGGATGAGGAAAGATTGTGAATACTTAGTCGGAAAATAAAGATCTTTTGTCCCAGGCCGTGGGACGCTTAATTCCTTGATCAAAGCTTTGTTTCTCCTACAAAAATTTCAGCATTAAAAATAATTTCAGGATATGTTAATTTCACAACTTCATTACTATGTTTGTTGACTTACATGTACAAGTCTGATTTCTTGTAGTGTTCGGTAAAGTCCAACCCCATAGACAGCTCCTGTGCCGAAGTAGTAACTTCCAGCATCCATGTAGCCGGATTATAACCATCCTTAATCTTCGCCACCCCTTCAATTCCCTCAAAGTAGTTGATCAAGTGTGTCGAGTGGCGGCCAAGTGGGCCCACGTATATCTCCTGTCCTCCCCTTTTCATCAAAAACAACTGCAAAAAACTACCCGTCTTTAAACAACAGTTTTGTGAATCGCTACAACTCAAAGCAAACTTTTTTTTTTTTTTTTTTGAAGTGTTATATAACCTCATCAAACGCTTCGAAAATGTCGATACTTGGCTGATGGATAGTGCACACGACAGTCCTCCCTGTGTTGACCGTGTTGCGAACAGTCCTCATGACAATGGCAGCTGCCCTGGCATCAAGCCCTGAGGTCGGCTCATCCATGAATATGATTGAAGGGTTTGCCACGAGCTCGACTGCTATCGTGAGCCTCTTTCTCTGCTCAGTCGAGAGCCCATTCACACCCGGAAGCCCCACTAGTGCTCCCCTCAACGGGCTCAGCTCCACCAGCTCCATTACTTCCTCAACAAACATCTGCCCAAAAAAAAAAAAAAATCTCATTATCAAAAATTTATAACCAAACATAAATTTGATTTCTGAATATATTTTTACCTTTCTAGTTTCGGAGTCGATATCACGAGGCAGCCTGAGCCAAGCGGAGTAGACAAGGGACTCATAAACAGTGACATTAGGGGAGTGAATGTCGGTTTGCTCACAATAACCGGAAATCCTAGCAAAGGTGGATTGGTTTTTGGGGTAGCCGGAGATGGTGATGTCACCCTCGATGTAACCTCCCGTTTTTCTTCCCGCCAAAACGTCCATGAGAGTCGTTTTTCCGGCCCCACTCACTCCCATCAAAGCCGTGAGAACTCCGGGCCTGAATGCGCCACTAACTCCCTTCAACAGTTCCAATTTGTCTTCACTCACTCCCTGAGCTTTCATTTCCTGCATAAAATGTTTCCAATTAAAAACTATTAAAAATTTGACGAATCAAATGCACCTTATTCGTTCCTCTTTAAAATATATACCGCTGGCATGTCGACTGAGTATCTAATGTTGTCGAACGTGATGGAATGTGGCTCGAAAGGAAGTACCATTCCTTTTTTCTTGTTCTCGTTGGCTTCAATGGAGTCTGTGGAGGCTAATCTATTTCGGCTGTCGTCGTCGTCTTCGGAAGCTTCTGGTAGTACTGCCTGAGGCTTCTCGAAAGCTGCAACAGTTTTTTAACGCGTCAGTTGTATGTCTTGCAGCATATAAATTCAGAGTGTACTGAAATGTAAATATAGAAAACTCACGGCCAAGGACTGTTAGACAAATAATGTAGAAGATGTTGAACAGGAACACGAATCCGACACTTGCCCCAAGTCCCAGCCAGTACCAGTAAGAGTCAGGAAAGAAGCCTCGTGACCTCATAACAAGCACTCCCAATTCTGTTCCGTTTATCAACTACAAAAAACGATAGTTTCGAAAAAATCTAGTTTAGTCATGTAAAATAGATATCAGGCAAATTAAAGAAGTAAATATAGCAATGGACTCACTCTACTCCAACTATGCCCTGTGAATTCATTCACGAGAATCGCGTTCTGAGCATACATCAATGGCGAAGCCCAATAGCCCCATATCCACCACCCCTTCACATCCTCTGTTAAAAAATATTCAAAATCAGTGTTCAGAAAATAGCCAAATTAATAAATTTTGGACTAAGTTATTACATAACTACCTCGTGAGAGAACAAAGCCGCCCAACGCAAATAGCAACAGCATAGCAAACAAGCCAAACGTGTTTGCAACAATCATGTTCCGAGTTGCTGCCCCAATAAACCTAAAGAGTGATAAAGCCGACTGGTGCACGAATAAAAGCAAAAGGTACTGCATAGCAAATCTGCATGCAATTTTCACCGAAAAAACTCTTGATCAGTCAAAATGTATGCTAAGATATTTCAAAAGAGTTAAATTTAATTATTCTTTTAAATTGGTTTATGATAGAACGTAGAAAACGTGCCTTGATACGTTTGGATCAAAGCCGATTACATAATATGTGAGGAAAGTCCATATAGCCACTTCAATGAAGGTAACCGGTATTTTGAGTAGCCAAGAAGGGAGACCGTAAGCCCATGCAGGGAAAAAGAACATATCCCGTTGCTTGTAGAAAACGGGAAGTTTGTAAATCGTCATTGACAGCTCAGACATCCCGTTAAACATGATCATAATAACCGCGAAAAATAGAGCGCCGGTATAAATGCCTCCATCTTCTATGGTGTTTTTGCTCATCTCAGTTCGGAAAAATACCGTCATGGCGAAAATCGACATTATA